AACTTTGCCAGCCAAGGACTCGGGACTGTTGCCCTTTCTATCCTTCTCATAGCCAGGGTACTGCTCTCTTCAGGCAAACATACCACCAAACAGTGGTGAGTCAAGAGGGATCCTTGGCTCCATTAATGCAGTAATGTACCTCCAACAGCATAGCAAAAGCTTGCACTAGTATCATAACACCAGTGCCCAAAAAATGGGACATGACTCATTCTGGCAATGTAAATCAAATGCCACCCACCATTTTGAGTACAGATCTTACTACATACTTCTGGGCTCAGTAGACCAACTGGTTTGTTCATCTATGAAGCAAGTACTGTGCCCTCAGAAATTCTTCCCAGGCTGGACTTCCAATCAGAAGTACAGAAGGCTGTCCTTGCAATCCAAACGGCTCCCGCACCCCACTTGCTGGGAGCACAGCCTGGGGGTGGAGAAGAGGGGGGCACGCCCTTCCTTCTTCGGGATCTTCGTGTGCAGCACGGCACAGTCAGGCTGTGAGGCCCTGGGTAGTGCAGTTTTTTCAAGGGCAGCTTCAATGCCAGATGCATCACCAGCAGAAAGTGATGTAGGAGAGAAGGTGGAATGGGGGTTGGGAAGGGTAAGTGGGGTGAGCAGGATGGAGTGGAGCACTCAAGAAAGGGCAAATCAGGACATCCTGCTTCTGGGACATGAGCTGGGGAAGGGGGCTTTGCCCACTGCTAAGTCTGAGTGTCTTGCCATAAGTCAATGCTTTGTTCCCCTGTGGTATTACTTTCAGAAGCTCGACACTCATGCTCTTCAATGCTTTCTCATGCACACTTTTTAAAACTGATGGGTAGGACTATCCAGACCTCACACAACACTGGAGGGTGCTTTGCATAAAATCTCACAGCCAGGGCAGGACATGGGAAGAAAAGACTCCACTAAACTTTGGCACAGTGCTTTAAAAAACTAGCTAAGCTTCAGTGAGCCAGTCCCAGTGAAGTCCAGCTGTGTTCCCAGAGACCAATGGATGTATATTCATAAAGGGTAACCACATAACTTTGCCACCACTATCTTTTCAACATTCAGGATTGAGGTCTGGACTTTGAACTGTAAACAATATTCAGTCGCCAGAGCACCTGCTTCTGGGTTGAATCACAGGATCAGATTCCAAAGAAATAAAAAGTTACAGTGTTAGAACGACAAAAGGTTTCCATAGTCTTCATATTAAAAGCATGCTGTCTTTTTTAATGTCTGTAGTTCAGAATCCATCATCCAAATCTGTAACGCATCTATATGCAAGAGAAGGATGAAGGAGAGAGGCCAAGCTTTTCTCTCTCTCTGTACTTGCATCCTGAAATAAGATCAATTAAAATTAAGGGGTTTGTTAATTTCTCTTGGACTAAGATGGCAGATGCAATAAAAGTGAAATCCCTTTTTCCTTGAGCATCTGGCATTCTGTGTCATTGATAGTATTTTCACAGACAGAAGCTTATGGGCACAATCCTGTGCAAGTTTAGACAGAAAAAAGCCTGCAATTCATAGCACTTGCCAGCTAGCTGTGCTGGTTGGGGCATGCTGGGAGTTCTCATCCTTCTGCCTAAAAATTTGCATAGGATTGTGCCTTAAAGGAACAGGTTAACACATGCGGCAAGTAGTAACAGATTCTGCTTGGTGATGGCTGCATCTTCCTCACTGAAATTTTCCTGTGCCAATGTGTGGGGTGTGTTTGTAGATAAAAACGTCAAATGAGAGAGAAAAAGGAAGTATCTGGCAAGTTGCACCCTATGTGAGAGCATATCTGAATTTAAAACAAAGGGACAAGGTTTTAAAACTGATAAGACATTGGTTATCCAAATCTCTTTATTAGGAAGGTGATGATAAAATATAAAAATTCCTGTCTTGAGCCCTGAAAGATAATGAAGTATAACTTTTCCCATGCTACGTTAAGAGTCATGCAGCCTCAACAGCCCCAGTTTTACAGTATATGGCAGACTTCCACAAGGTAGGAATTCTGGTTCCCATCAGCCACCACCAACATGGCCAGGGATGATGGGAACCACAGTCCAAAGCATCTGGAATGCACCAGGTTGAGAAAGCCAAGCATATGACATCGGGGCAATATTGTAATTAGATGTACCACTGATATGAATATATCCACTCATTTTATTTGGATCAAAATTAAACTACAATTTGCATGTTCCCTGTGTTTGGACATTGTAATAAATCATGTTACCAGGAGGTACAGTTTTGAAGTTTTCCTTTCCAGTTTTGTTTAACTGTGCTTTATTGTATTAACAGAACCAAACAAACTGGCTAATGTTACCTGTGGTTTGTTTAAAAGAAGCCAACTTCAAATTGGGAAGCTGCCTTATTTAAATAAATATTAACCTAAGATTAACCACAGTTCACGGTTTGGACAGCATACTAAATGACAGTTAATCTAAAACATATGGAAAAACTCATGAATGACACTGTTTTCTCTCACTGAATTCAATGGAATTTGGCCAAGAACATTCAGGGTAGACAGTTTGGACACTGCTGCTTAATGTTCTGCCTTAGTTAGAAAAAAAATTCACATTTCTGCAGGAAAATGTTTTCAGGTAAGCAGGTACACAATATGCTCCTACACAAGCTTACTCAGAAATAAGTTCCATTGTGTCCAATGGGGCTTAGTCCCTAGTAGGTGTGTTTAGAATAGTATCTATTACTTACTGAAAGAATATTCTAATAAAGTCAATGGAGTTAATGCTAATTAGCTGTCTTTACCCCATTTTAGGATTTAAGTATTGGTTTCCTACATTTAGAGTACCATATCAGGCAAATTTTACAGCATCTGAAAGCATCCTTCCTTCCATAAAGTTATGACATTTGGCTTGTGTGTTTATGCAATGGTAGGATATAATTATTAATCCAGAACTTCAAAAATCATATTACAAGACTAAACACAGCTCAGCAGTTTGAAACAATATAAACCTGTGGAATACATTTGATGAAAATTATAATTTAGTTCAATTTAATTTGTATCAATCTTTTAGACTCGTTGCATATCTTTTGCGATATTATTGATAAGTACATTATTTTGAAAACTTTTTCAGCCTGGCAACAACTGCAGAATATCTTAATTACAATTTTAAAACCTGTTATGATCATTTTAATTTAGGAACCACTCTTAGGCTGCAATTTTGTTGCCCTAAACTTAACAGAAGTTTACTTTCCACCACTCATGCCTTGAAGAAAGAAGAAAGTTCCACCCTTCAGTCCATTTTGTAAAGCATATGATAATGTACATCTGCTTCTACTTCCTAAGATTTAACTGTGTGCATGGCAGTGTCAGTACTGTGAACTGAATCACTGAAGCTAATGTGTGTGTGGTTTTATTATTTCCAGAGATGCTACCAGGAAGAAAAAATAATGCACCCACATGGCACAAAACTAAGCATATTTATTCAGAAGTACATCTCACTTATTTCATGGGGCTTACATGTTAATAAACATGGGTTATTCTTGATTTAATTGCACATTCACAAATACTTTGCATTTAAAACTATATAATGCCACACACATTTGACAACTGCAGCATTTTACTAATTCCAATTGTCTTAACAAGCCACCATCTCTATGCAGCCTCACTGTTTGACACTTTAAAAAATTTCTTCTGCTTCCCGCGTTGCATTTTCTGTGACCTTTCCTCCTACAAAAGAGCCTGACAAGGAATCCTTAGCAGTGCAGAAAACAACCTATTACTGCTCGCCTATCCTCTATTCCTTGTCAAACAGCTTTAGTAAGCACTGAGTTTTAACCACAACTGATGTTACTGTTTGCACCAACCTTACAACCAGCTCGAGCTAAGTTCATGCACACATTACGACATAAAACACCTTGCAGGCAAGCTCTCCGCCTGGCTGTAGAGCAAACTCAGAGAAACACAAGCATTGCTCCTGCTCACTGACTACCAAAGCGCCAGGTTGCCAACTGCTGAGTTAACAAAACTATGAATCAGCAGTGAACCAAAAGTAATAAGGAATAACTTGGTTTCTTTCCACACTTTCTAAGGAGCATGAAATTGCTCTAACTTGGACGGGGAAGCATTTAACTTCCTCCTCCTCCCCTTCCTTCCTTCCTTCCTTCCTCCCACCAATAAGTCTAATCTTTTAAACACTGTCGAAATAAATGCGTTCATCCCCCCAGTCATGTGAACATATTTCAGTCACATCCATACACTGCCTATTATTTGAGAAGAGAAAAGGAAAAGCGCTGGAAAAGGCCTGAGTCAGCGTCGCTCTTCAGAGCAGCTTGGCATTATTTAAAGGAAACGTGGTTGTTTTCTTGTGGAGGGGCGAGTTCCTTGTGGAGCCCAGGGCAGCTTGCCTCAAAACAAAGATACTCTGGGGGAAAGGGATCCGACTCCTGTTTGTTTTCGCCTAGGAAAACTAACTCTCCCCCAGAAGAGGCTGGGGCATCCCACTCGTTGCGCCGGAGAAAAATGTCTCCCTGCTCGGTTTGCAACGGCCACTCCGCCTCCGGGACTCCTTGAGCGGATTTCGAGGCGCGGGCCAGCCGGGAAGGGCCGGGCCGGGCCGGGCACTGCGGCGGCGCCGGGGCCCCCAGGGGTGCGCGCCTCTCCCCGCCAAAGCCCAGCTCCGGCACGAGCCTAGAGGGTAAACAGGACGCCTGACAACGCCGTTCGCCCTCGCCACGTCTATTACGCAGGGAACCTGCACTCATCTCCATAGCACCCGCGCTGCGCTGGCGCACGAACGTGCAGCCTCCTGTGCCAGGCACACGCGCGCACGTACCCATGTTCCCTACGTGCGCCCCCGCCGCCCCCGGAGAGGCCGCCGTCCCCCCCTCGCCCACCGCCGCACCTGGCGTTGTCACATAGCACCCGGCAAGGCTAGCCCAGCCCAGCCCAGCCCGGGCCGAGCAGAGCCGGGCCGGCCGGCCGGCCGCGCGCCCCTCCGCGGACTGCCGCCGCCGCCGCCGCCCGTCCTTGGCAGGGAGCCGGCGCGCCGCTGCATAGTCGCCGCCGCGCCGCTTACCTGCCGGAAAGACCCGGGCTCCGGCCGCGCTGGCGAGGCTGGGCGCGCACCGCAGGAACTTGCCAGCTCTCCCGGCGCGGCGCGGCGCGGCGGAGGCGGCCGCTGGGGACTGGCCAACGCAGCCCCTCCCCGAAAGGGCCGGGCGAGGCGCGAGCGCCGC